CTAAGGAAAAGGACTTCCTTTCCTTAACAAAGACTATCACCTACAAACCTAGAGCTAACATCATACTTAATAGAAAACTGTATTCTCTTTAAGGAATGGAACAAGACAAGGATGCAGCTATTCCCACCACCATGTAACAGAATTATAGAAAAAGTAGCCACTACAAGAAATAATAAAAACTAAAACAAAGTATAAAATTAGAAGGAAAGAGACAAATGTCAGTGTTTGCAACTCGTATAATTATTTCACATAGAACTCACAGAAAATCCACAGAAAAGCCATTAGAATTAATCGGAGTTCAAAAAGGTAGTTAGAAATGAAACCAACCTAAAAACAACTGATTGCATTTCTCCACACCAACAGTAACCAATCAGAGAGAGAGAGAGAGAGAGAGAGAGGAGATATATAACAGTCTAAACGGCAACAATGTGACAAAATAAGAAACCACTTATATTAGTAATATTATTGAAGCTAGGAATTATCTTAATAAAAAATGCAAGAGACTTGTGGAGAAAATCTGAAAAACTCTATTAAAGTACATCTGAGTGAAAATATGAATAAATGGAGAGAACAGACCATATTCATGGGTGAAATGACTTGACATTAAGAACAGACCATATTCATGGGTGAAATGACTTGGCATTAAAAGGTATCAATTCCTCCCAGATCAACCTATGATTTCAATTAATTTCCAATCAAAACTTCAGGAAGACTTCTGTGTACTTCACAGACGGATTTAAAAATGTTTATGGAAGAACAAGTCCATGAAAAGATAAGAAAAAGTTTGAAAAAAAAAAGGTAGATATTAAGACATATTACAAAGCCATAATAAAAACAAAATCCAATTGGATTAAAGATGTAACTGTAGAAGAAGAAAAGATAAAGTTAATAGGAGAAAATATAGAAAAAAATTATGATCTTCAGGTAGGTGAGGATTTCTTAAATAAGACGTAAATAGCCTAGGCTATAAGGAGAAAAATGATGGATATGACTACACAAAATTTAAAGATTTATGTTTAAAAAAAAGTAGACCATAGACCTAAGATAAGCTACAAATCTCTTAGATGAAAACATAAGAGTGACTCTTCAAAACCTTGAGTGAGGCAAGGATTTGTTAGATATGACACCAAAAACACAAGAGGTAAGACAGAAGATTGACCAGTTGGACGTCAACAAAATTGAAAAATTTTTTGCCTCAAAGAACACCATTAAGAAAGTGAAAAGACAAGTCACAGAAAAGGGGAAACTATTTGCAACTCATATATCTAATAAAAGGACAACTAAATATATATATATATTTATATATTTATATATACCTAAATATATATAAAGAACCATTACAATTCAATAATAAAAGACAACAATTTATTTTATTTTATTTTTAAGATTTTATTTATTTATTTGACAGAGACACAGCGAGAGAGGGAACACAAGCAGGGGGAGTGGGAGAGGGAGAAGCAGGCTTCCCACTGAGCAGGGAGCCCGATGCGGGGCTCGATCCCAGGACCCTGGGATCATGACCTGAGCTGAAGGCAGTCGCTTAACTGACTGAGCCACCCAGACAACAATTTAAAAAATAGTTCTGAATAGACATTTCTCTAGAGAAGATACACAAATGGTTAATAAGCGCATGAAAATATGTTCAACATCATTAACCATCAGGGACGTGCGAATCAAAACCACCATGCGCTACAACTTTGTACCTGCTAGGGTGGGACGGCTCTAACCCAAATGACAGGCAACACGCCATGGTGAGGATTTGAAGAAAATGGAACCATCATGCACTGCTGGTAAGACCAGAAAATGTCACAGCTGCTTTGGAAAACAGTTTGGGAGTTCCTCAAAAGTTTAAACATCAAGATACTACATGAATCCAGTCATTCCACTTCTAGGCATATACCCCAGAGAAATGAAAATATATGTTCACTCAGAAATTGTACATGAATGTTCACAGAAGCATTATTCATAATGGCCCAAAAGTAGAAACAACCTAAATGTGCATCAACTGACGAATGGATAAACAAAATGCGGTATACCCACGTGATGGAATATTATTGGGCATTAACAGGGAACAAACTACTGATATATGCTGTAATGTGGATAAACCTACAAAACACTACGCTAAGTGAAAGAAACCAGGCACAACAAACACATATTTGTATGAGATGTTCAGAAGCAGGCAAATGCAAAGAGACAGGAAGTAGATTAGTGCTTGCCTAGGGCAGGGGAGGGGCATATTGAGGGAAAAGTGGAGAGTGACTGCTAATGGAGTAATAAAAATATTCTAAAATTAGATTATGGTGATAGTTGCCCACTCTGTAAATAGACTACAAACCACTGAATTGTATAATTTAAATAGGTGAATTTTATGATATATAAATTTATTTTTATTTACTTTAGTTACATTTATTTAATTTAGTTATATTTACTTACTTTAATAATAAAGTTATTAGTCATAATAAAAAGGAGACCATAAATGAGGTTAACAGACAGGTGACAAGATTAGGGGAAGACTTAAAACATCCACATCTGACAAAGAACTAACATTTTAACATGTAAGGATGCCAAAAAGGAACAAAATGCAAACCACATATAGAAAAATATCAGAAATCTGAAAGAAGAGAGGGGCAGATTAGATGGATAGATGGGTAAGCAGTTCACCAATGGCAAAACAATATGATGAGATGCTCAATTAAAACAGAAATGGAGGGGCGCCTGGGTGGTTCAGTCGTTAACCGTCTGCCTTCGGCTCAGATCATGATCCCAGGGTCCTGGGATCGAGCCCCGAATCAGGCTCCCTGCTCAGCGGGAAGCCTGCTTTTCCCTCTCCCACTCCCCCTGCTTGTGTTCCCTCTCTCGCTGTCTCTCTCTCTGTCAAATAAATAAATAAAATTAAAAAAAAAAAAAAAAGAAATGGAGTACTGCTTTAACCTACCAGTTTGGACCGAAATTCATAAATGAGCTAACAGTAAATGCCAGCAGATGTTGGAAAAGGGACCCTTGATGCACTCCTGGTGGGAGGAAACTGAAGAAGCCATTCTGCAGCACAAAGTAGCAGTTTTTAGTAAAAGACATCCCACAAGTATCCTAGAACCAGCAATCTCATATCTATCTCAAAAAAAATTCTTGCACAAGACACAGGGAGACACCCAAAAGGATGTTTGGTGTAGCACTGTTCGTGCAAGCAAGGAGTCACAGGCCACCTCATGTCTATTCCCAGGAGGCTGGTTAAGTTCTTGTGGTGTATACTTTCCATACAAAACTATGCAACAGCCAGGAGTAATAAATCAGACTTACATATAGCAATATGGTTTGACTCAAAAACATAATGTAGGGAGGAAAAGAACTAGTAAGAGATTTATAGCATGAAAGTTTTTTCTTTTTTTTGAAAATTTTATTTATTTATTTGAGAGAGAGAGTGTGAGCGAGCATGAGCGAGCATGAGCGGAATTAGGGGCAGAGGGAGAGAGAGAAGCAGACTCCCTGCTGAGCAGGGCTTGATCCCAGGACCCTGAGATCATGACCTGAGCCGAAGGCAGATGCTTAACTGACTGAGCTACTCAGGCGCCGCTATTTTTATTTTTGTTTTTTTTTTTAAAGATTTTGTTTATTTGTGTGAGAGAGAACAGGCGCAGGGGGGAGTGGCAGGCAGAGGGAGAGGGAGAAACAGGCTCCCCGTGGAGCACGGAGACTGATGCGGGGCCCCAACCAAGGACTCTGAGATCATGACCTAAGCAAAAGTCAGACGTTTAACCTTAACCGACTGAGCTACCCAGGCGCCCTTAGCCTAAAAGTACTTATTTAGGTAAGTGCATCAAAAGCAAAACGTGACATAGGTTTCAAAGATACACATGCTCTAAGAAGATATAAGGAAAGGGAGTTGGGAAGAACAAATACAACAGCATGGCGGCGTGTTCGTGTGTGCACCGGGAGGAGGGCGCTGACAGAGAACTGGAGTATCAAGGGAGGAAATAACAACATAAGATAACGCGAGAGACTCTAGATGGAGCAAGGATTGGTGTGCCAGGAACTAAGGTGTGTGAGCAATTAAATTTGGTAGACCTTAGATACTAAGGAAAACACACAAAATCCCACGCATTACTTTTTAATGAAAAATGTAAGAAAGTCCATCACATGCTGGTGGCTAACTCAATGAATCATAAAGCTATGGAGCCAAGAAGGTAGGGGGGAAAGGCAGGGGCTTGCTTGGTCTTCCGTTTTCTGGAACATGGAAGCAAGAACACAGGGTGGTAGAAATGCAGGGCAGGGTGTCTCCTACTCCCCCTCTTCTTCCCCCTGCAGACTGAAGCTAGGGGAGCAAAAGGAGAGAACCATCCACTACGGTTCAAATTTAGTTAACAGGAGGAAGAGAGAAGAGGACATTAGGGAATTCAGCAGAGAAGGAATAGCTCATTGAATCAAAGACTCTGATTTTTCTGGCTCATGATAAAGGCAGCATTTTCTAAAAGCAATGAATACTCAACACAGCCCTGAAGCAGGGCAGAGGACGGACTCCGTGTTTTAAAAAATAGGATCTTATGTTATCGTTTGTCAAATTCAGATGGCTATTTTCAAAGTTAAGGTCAACGGGGTTTATTTCAGTAACGGGCCGTATGATCTGATCCGTGTGATTAGGCTGAATTCACTTTTATTGAGACAAAAGTTGATTAAAAGGGGGTTCTTGGTATTGGCTACAAAGAGTGTCATCACTCAAATGTACATCAAGTGCCTGCAGATTTAGTCCCTTTACTTCCAACACTTAGTGCCTTCTACCCTGTATGCTCATCCCACACAACTGGCCATGCGGGCAACTTGTGTGTGTGTAGCTATAGATACAGATATAAGATAGAGCTAGCGATAGATTTTTTTTTTCCCCGGCCAGGGGTTGGCTCCACAGCCCTGCGGTGGAGCCCAATTCTCGATACCACGATCGAATTAGTGTATATGTGACAAAATGGCCAAGACCAGAGCACTTATGTTTCACCCCTCTGCTGGCAGATGCAGCGGACTGGAGGTTTCCTGGTCTGGGAAGGACGCGGTCCCCGAGCGCACCCATCCCTGACGGTTTTCGCCAGCCCCGGGGGGTTGGAGTCTCTGCGGAGTAAGCCCCTGTCTTCTCGTGGGCAGGGCCTCAGGGAGGGGGCGACATTCTGGACTAGCCTAGGTCCATGCCTCTGGCCAAGAGAGGCGGGCTGCAGGCTTGCCAGTTCAGGGAACGCTTGGAAGGCACCCCAGGGTCGCCCAAGTGCGCCCTATCTGTAAAACGTAGAAAGGCAAACGGCACGAGGAGTGGAGCCAAATGGGGAAGAAGAGGAGTCTAAAAGGTAAGCAGGGGCAAATGATGGGTTCCTCCCAGCCGAGCTCAGGGGAGGCACTCTGCTCAGCATTTTACAAACATTCTCCCACTTTGACTTTGACTGAAAGCCGGTCGGGGGTGGGGACCGGTGGTGGTGTGCAAAAGGGAAACGCGGGACGGGACCGGTGCGCGACCTGCCTTGCCGCCGCGCGACCTCGGCCCCAGGCCGCCAGGCCCTTGGCGCGCTCGTCTGAGTCCCCCCGGCTCTTCCCCCCGCCCGGCCGCAGGAGCCCCCGGCCCGGCCGGCTCCGCGTCACGGGGCCTCCCGGCGTCCCGCCCGCCCGTCCGCAAGGCGGAGCCCGCGAGGCGGCCGTCGAGGGGCCGCGCTTACCTCGCCTGGTGCGGGCAGCGGCCGCAGCTCGCAGGCTCCACGCCGGCCGCCGCTGCTCTCCTCGCCCCTCGCTTCGACGGCTGCTGCGCGGGCCCGGGCCACGGCCACGGGCACTTTCATTTTCCTCGACGAGGGCGGCAGGAAAGCGAAAGCGAAAACGGCCGAGAGGCGGGCCCGGGCCGAGCGCGGTGAACGCGGAGCGCGGGCTGGCAGCCAGAGGCGGGGGCTCGGGCCTCGGGCCTGCACGCGGGCGGCCGGCCGGAGCCCGTGCGCCCGAGGGGCCGCCAGCGAGCCCGGTGCGCACAGCTCCGCGGCGCGAGGCCCGGGCCGGGGCCGGGCCGGAGGGCGGGCAGCCCGGCCGCCAGCGGAGAGGCCCCGCAGCGCGCCCTCGTTCGGCCCCGCAGCGCGCCTCGGCCCGTGGGGGCCGCTTCCCCCGCCAGCCCCTCGGTCAGCGTCTGCTGGGGCCTCGGGGGCCGCTTCCCCCGCCAGCCCCTCGGTCAGCGTCTGCTGGGGCCTCGGGGGCCGCTTCCCCCGCCAGCCCCTCGGTCAGCGTCTGCTGGGGCCTCGGGGGCCGCTTCCCCCGCCAGCCCCTCGGTCAGCGTCTGCTGGGGCCTCGGGGGCCGCTTCCCCCGCCAGCCCCTCGGTCAGCGTCTGCTGGGGCCTCGGGGGCCGCTTCCCCCGCCAGCCCCTCGGTCAGCGTCTGCTGGGGCCTCGGGGGCCGCTTCCCCCGCCAGCCCCTCGGTCAGCGTCTGCTGGGGCCTCGGGGGCCGCTTCCCCCGCCAGCCCCTCGGTCAGCGTCTGCTGGGGCCTCGGGGGCCGCTTCCCCCGCCAGCCCCTCGGTCAGCGTCTGCTGGGGCCTCGGGGCTGACGGCGGACGTGCCGGCAGCGCTTCGTGGGTTGCTGGCCTCAGGAGGCGGGTCTGGCCTGGGCGGCCGGAGCGAGCCTCTGAGGGGTCCCGGGTTGGGGCGCTGAGCCGGCTGGGGCAGGTTGCGTTCGCAGACCCCCAGGGGTCGGCCGGTGCCCCAGGCCCAGGCATGCGCCCTGGACCCTCTGCCGAGCTGGCGGCCCCGTGGCCTCGAACAGCCTGGTGGCGACCGTGAGGTACCAGGCTCTTCATCCTGGGTCCGCGGAGAAATCCAAAGTCAATGGTATCAGTGAAATGGGGGACTCGTCATTTGATAAGAAACAGTGCACAGCAAGCTTAGGATTTGGACTCCCTGCTCTAATTGGTGCCCATCAATACCCAAGGGTTTAGTGAGCCCTGGCCTGTCACTTAGTGGCTGTGTGATTTGGGGCAGAATCCCTTAGCCTTAGTTTCTTTGCTGGTAGGACGAGGATGGTCACCATACCTACCTCAAGGTTGTAGGGGTTAAATGAAACGGTGTGAGGGAGAAAATACTTGGCATTTTCTGTGAAGCTCTAGATGGGTTCTTTGAGGTCATTGTTTTTCTGGATGCCCGACAGACATTCTCTAATGTCAGTTGATAAAATTGGAGATCCCCATGATAATAAGACAGTTTTCAAAGTTTAGACTGTGTTCTCTTGATTTAGAAGGACCGAGGAGGCACTGCAGTCTTTTTGGAAGGCTCCTCACACCTCACCTGACAATTAGCCCCTGGATCAGTCCTGTTAATTAGAGCGCTGCTACACCTGAAGTTTCAGGAAAGGCCCTACAGCTCTGCCCAGCATGGGTCACTGAGATCTGAAAATACTTTTGTAAGGAAGCATTGCTACTTGGAAAACACTGAGAAGACTCCATACTCCAAACCAAATTTGCCGTGTGTGTGTTTGTTCATTTTTGTCATAGAGCAGTCTGATAACTGGAACAGAAAAAATTAACTGTCTAATCTGGCAGTGTCACTTTGGTTTGCCTGTTTGAAATTCAGGCACGTTCCCTGCGTGATGGAAGCCTTGATCTGTGACTAGTGTTGTGGCTTTCTAAGTGTCATTGCAGTATTCCCTCAAGAGCACCTGGGGAAGTGGGGCAGGCCAAATGGGGACCTTAGAAAAACAAGAGCCCATGTTTCCCCCTCCGGGAGATGACGCTTTTGGTCTGTAGCATGAAGGAAAAACAAAACAAAACAAAACAAAATTATCAAGGGAAGCCTTGGAGCTCTTCCTTGTGATAGGACAATCATTCTTAATTCCATGAGAGCAAAGTAGAGGTAAATTTGAAAATCTGTTTCTGCATAAAAAGTATGTGTGGGAGATGAGAGTTAGGTAAAGAGAGGTAGAGATGCAAGATTTTAAAGCCACGTCCTGGTTACCTTTTATAGATGTTAACCTGTGTGACCGGAGAGGTGCCAGGAGGTAAAAGGCTAGCCTGTAGTCTATCATCTTGGTGATTTCCCATAGTCCAGATTTGGTCTTTGACCCTGTGGGACCTGACATTCCGTCTTTCCAATGTTCCAGTGTTGATTAAAAATCCATGTTATATAAAATCAGAAGGCGAACTTACTGATTTCATTCACTATTTGTTAAACTCTATGCTAAGTACATTACATGTATTGCTTCCTTTAATTCTCCCTGTAATCATGTGGTATGTTGTGATCTTTTTTTCAGTTGGGGTAAAAAAAGATAAAGGGAATTTCCAAGGTTAGTATGTTCAGTATGTAAATGGTAGAGTCAGGGTTCAGATGAAGGCTGTGTGATACCCAAACCTGGAGCTTAACCATTACTGTTAGAAGCAAAACGGTCAGGAACATGAGACTCTTGAGGTTGGCTGGTAAGTGCACTCTCTTCTTAAAACTGTACAATTTGGAACCTAATTGTCAGAAGGTGGCTTGGCGAGCTCGAAGCCAGAATCAGAAGAGTGAATTATCTGACTTAGATGTTTACTGATATCAGCCTTGGGGAGCTTGGTGCATCTTCCTCCACACCAGAGGTCAAACAAGCTGCTGGGAGGATTGGCCACTCATTCCTGCTGTCCTGGCCAACCCTTCTCTTGGGGTTGGTGGCCGGTGGACACTCTCTGTTACCTAGGTTCTCCTTATTAATGTACCAGGGCTGTCCCTCCTCAGATGAACACATTTCTTTTTTAGATAGAGCCAGGCCTTACTGAGTAACAGTACCGTTGAGCCTTGTAGGTCCTGGAGTCCTTATTGCTCTTTAAGGAGGCATGTTGCCTATCTTTGCTCTGATTGGTTTGATTTCTAATTTAACTTTCAAAGATCAACTTTGTATCCCAACTCTTTGGAGGCAACTCACTTTCTTTTCCTTCCTACCTCCCTGACCTTCTAACTCTAGAATAAAATCTTGTGCTCGTCAAGGAAGGCTCGAAAAATCCCAAGTCCAAGGCCAGCCCTCACAGATTTTACCATGGGTGAAGGGTGGGAGGGGAGATCATGCTGCTGGAGAACAATATAAATAGAAAGAAATACAATTCATTGGTTAGAAAAGAAAACATTTGGAGTGTGACTCAAATAAAAAGGAAAAAAAATATCAAATACCCCTTTCAGATACTTCCTTTATTCAACAAATATTTTGTTGCAACTACAAAATGCAGCCACTCTGCTAATGCTTGAGATGCAGTAATGAGCAAAAATGGATATAGTCTCTGCCATCAGGAAACACATTGTATAGTGTCAATATACAATAGCAGTCAATCAGATAATTAGTCAAATACAGAATATCATCCTAAATGCTACAGAGTGCATTTAATTCACTATAAGACGGAATTACAAAGGATTCAAACTTGTGTGAGGGTCAGAGAAGGCTTCCCTGAAGAAATGATATTTGAATTGGTAGCTAAGGAATGAGGGTTAGTTAACTGGGTAAAGGGGCATGGGATTGGAGAAGAGATAATTGGTAGAGGGAACAACATGTGCAAGGGTCCTGAGGCAGCAAAGAACTTAGAGCATTTGGGGAACTGGAAGGAGGCTAGATTTGAACCATTATCTACCTGATGCTCAGAGGGTCAATGGAGCAGAGAGAGTAAGGACAACCCAAGTCCACAGAAGACTGGAGAATAAGGCAAAAGTCACAACAGGCAGAGCCTTGAAGGTCATGCTGAGGACCTTCAAGATCCTTAACCTATGAGCTCTGATGTTGTTTAAGCAGATCTGACTTGTGTTTTAAAAAAAGATGGCTCTGGGGCCCCTGGCTGGCTCAGTCAGTAGAGCCTGTGACTCTTGACCTCAGGGTGATAAGTTTGAGCCCCACGTCAGGTGTGGAGATAACTTAAAATCTTAAATTTTTTTTTAAAGATAAAAAGCCTGCAGGCGCCTGGGTGGCTCAGTTGGTTAAGCGACTGCCTTCAGCTCAGGTCATGATCCCAGGGTCCTGGGATCAAGTCCCGCATCGGGCTCCCTGCTCTGCGGGGAGCCTGCTTCTCCCTCTCCCACTTCCCCTGCTTGTGTTCCCTCTCTCGCTGTGTCTCTCTCTGTCAAATAAATAAATAAAATCTTAAAAAAAAAAAAAGATAAAAAGCCTGCTCTACATGTTGTGTGGTGAATAGATGGAAAGATGGTCGTCAGTTAGGAGCAAGATGATGGTGGTAGTGGTGGAGATAAGAAAAACAGACAGATGTGAGAGATATTTAGGAGGTGAAATGGTTAGGATCTTGCCAGTGGACTGGGTCTTAAAGATAAGGGAAAAGAAGATATCAGGCATGACTCCCAGGCTGCATAATTGGATGAACGATTGTGGCAGACGTATAGCAACTCAGATCATTCTTCAAGAGAATCTTCTACAGAGAACAGAGCTGAGAGCCCCCAGCTGCCGCCCCTTTAGATTTGCTGTAGCAAACGGACAAGGCTGCGTACTCTCTGGCTGCTCCCAGACAGTGAATGAACTCAGTGGGGGTACCAGAGCCAGGTCATTTCTGCCCAAGCTGGGACTCATCTAACAGGCAATCAGTACTGTGGAGCTTCCCAACGGTGTGGTCAACAATTTCTCAGAACTAATCTGCAGTCTGAAGCTCTTCCTGCCCAGTTCTCTTCCCTTCCCTCTCCCTTTCCAGAGGGGACAGACCTGCGTCATAATCTGAGTCTCTCTCTGCCTATTCTAGCTCCTTCTCCCCTTTAGCCTTCATGAGCATTTTCCTCAAGAAGCTCTTGCATGTTGAATTCCATCTTGGCATATGCTCAAAGAGGACCCAGACTGACACAATGCTACCCTTCCGTGAGCTGGAGAATTTGGGGAGAGGATCACATTTTGCGGGGTTTTGATTCTACACATTTTGGGTGAGATGTCAGGTGGGCAGGGAATCTCATGTTCACTTTCCCGCTCATAAGATGTGTTTGTGCTTTACTGCTAAACTATCAACTATGTCCTCTGTGTGAGCTAGGGCCTGGTCTTCTTTGTAAAGTGTTTGTTCCATGGACAATCTCCAAACCTCAGTTTAGAACTCAAAACTAAAACTCTTTGCTTCTAGAAAAATACAACCTATCAATAGCAAAAATATCCTTTAACTTTCTTAAGGGGGAAGAAAAAGTAAACAAATAGAAAATGAGTGAGCAATTGTTCTTGAACAAAGGAAAGTAATTTTGCTTTGGGTGGTCTTGGTTTCCTGTGAAAAGGAGTAGTCTCTCATAAGTGTTCCTAAAGGAAAAGACTTACATATTTGGCAACACAGATGGAAATCTGTCTTTCTGTGGGGGAAAGAAGCTAGTACTCCAAAAGGCACTCTTGCTTTGATGTGTGTCTCCCTGAGCAAGGTGTCCTTTGAGAGGCTGGCAGAGGAGGGCCCTGTCATGAAGATCGCAGTCCCCAGGAGCCTGTCTGAGTGAATCACCTGTGAGAGGACAGATATGTTCAAGTCCAACAGTGGTTCATCCTCCTAAATCAGGCTTGGAGACACGTCATGACTACTATTTGAACACTGACCTCTCTCATAAGTCAAACAACATTTCTTTCACTAGTTGCAGACCC